ATATTTCATTTTTATACTTTTCTGCTGGATGGTTAAGACCAAGGTAAAGCAGGACCTATGCAACAAGAGTTGCAGCTTTTGGGTAGATAAAGTCAGTGAAATTCCCTCAGGATTTATCCTGAGATCCTGTACCTCAGATTGTAGAACCTTTGTCAGTGTCAGCCATGTGGATGAGTCACAGCCATTGCTTGGCCAATGTGCTTTTTGTAAAAGCCTGAGAGAATGTTTTCTCTCCATGTGACTCTCCTTAGGCACACTCCACATCATCAATCACTTTCCTCTGTGCCCCCCAATCTCTTTGATCAGAAAATTTGGGACACAATTGAGTTATAGGATGTTACAATACATGTTCTCCTATGTCCTGAGTCCTCACTGACCTTGAAAGGCTACAGCCAAAATGTTGGCTGTCCTTGCAGCCCTTCTTTTTCCTTAATTTTTTGGTTTGGAAACTTAAGTTATTAACCCTTCAGAGGAGAAGCTTAATGATATTATTACCCTAAAACATAGACAGTTAAGCTTAACATCACTGTCTGAATATCAAACGCCTTAGACATAAAATGGAATGGGCAATTTCCATCAATCATTGATATGCTAAATTTAAATCCCTACAGAATGTGAAAAAATATTAAAAAATAGAAATAAACAATTACAAACTTTTACACAGAGATTTAGAATATAGAGCATTGTAGCAGGACAGTCCTATGACATTTTTTTCTTGTCTCTCATTTTCTTTCTTTCTTTCGTTCTTTCTTTCTTTCTTTTTTTTTTTTTTTTTTTTTTTTTTTGTTTTTTGCTTCCCACTGTGTTAAGTCTTTTTATTCTTTTGTTAATCTCTTTCAGGGCTAACTACTTCCATTGTAGGTGATGAAATGTGTAAGGCTCCACTTCAAATGTTGGCACTGCTATGAACATAGTCTCTTTCCCTTCTCTGCAATTCAGAATTGAAACTTTGATTCTTGTCTTATATTCCAGTCTCAGAAGTAGTTCCTCTGCAGATATTATTTGAAGACAGTCTTCTTATGCTTTATAGCAGTGGTCTGTGACCAGGTTCTATCTTCTCCATGAACACTACAATGGACTTAGTTTAGATATGTATTAAACTAAGAGGCATTCTCTCAAATGAGTTTAAATACACTTTATTTTTAGACAATTTACATGACATGTTTTTTCCCTAAAAAATACCTCCACTCCAAATAAATCACAGTCAAAATAAATTAAGCATTCAAGATGACATCAGTCCTATTTGTCTAAAATCTTGGTATTGTGTAAATGATAAACAGCAACCAGTTAAGACAAATGATAGATCCAAGGTTACCATCGAATCCATTAACATTTTTCCATTTCTAAATCATCCTTAAGGAAAATCATAAATGGGATCACACCATCCTCACAGTAATCCAGGAGAGCAATTATGCCATCTCGATTCATGTTTGCACCAATAAAGAACTGACAGTTTTTGAAATTAGCAAGGATGTGCTTGATTTGCTCTGAAGGCCCTGTGATATATGGTTTTACACTTTCTGGTCTCTGATCTTCAAGTTTGTATTTGATTGATTTCATTTATCTTTGAAACACTTCTTGTAGGCCTCTTTTGTGATGCTGGTTTCCTGTAAGTGGTGGTTCATTACAATATCTACACCAGTGACTACTGTGCTTTTGGTGCCTTCGCCCTCTGGGCCTTTAACAGAGGCATTGCCACCAATGAGCGAGTCATCAATGTTACCCTCTGTTCTATTGACCATCTTGCCCTCCATCTCCAGGCACAGCCCATCCACATTCTCCCAGATCTTGTAAGTGTTGGAGAACATCTCATCGTGTCTGATGAGGTGCTGGTAGATAATCATGATGGTGGCTGAGGGTGGAGGCAGCCGCACAAGCTTAGCAGAAGCCAGGAGCTTAGAGGGAGCACAGTGCAGCTGGAGCAATACTCGGGAGGAAGGGGGAGTGGGCATAAAAGCTCTTGTTTTCATTGCTTACATTTTTTCTTTTTGTTTTTTAAACAAATATTTACTTGTGAGAGAGTATAGAGTAATTGATAGGGCACTAGAAGCAGTATGCTTTTAGAAGACCCAAATGACAGGCATTCCAAGCATGGCCCTTGTGTTACATACTGCTATCCTCAGTGCAGTTGCTTAGTTCACAGGTATCAGCATATATAGTTAGTCAGGGTGAGAATCCTACCAATTAACTGCTAGTTTCAAAAACCTGATGGAGATCCTCAGGATCATTGCCTTAACCATCTCGTATATATAAATGTATGGTTTTGCCTCTGCCATGTGGCCTAGCTTTTCTTCTTGTCCTCTCTGCATTGTTTAATCCTTAAGTTTTCACCTTCCATTTAGTTGTGTTATACCCTTCAATTTTTATTTCTTCTTTTGAGTTCTTACACTAGGGTGACTATACAATTTACACATGTGAGTCTGGTTTATTTCACTTATGAGTATATCTTCAAGTGGCATCCACTTAAATATAAATGCTTCAAGTTTAATCATTCTTTATAGCTGAATAAGACTCCATTGTATAAAAATAACACATCTTTTTCATCCATTACCCAGGTGAAAGGCAATTGGTGTTTCCAAGATTTGGCTATCACAAATTGTGCTGCTATAAATATAGATGCATATATATGATGATAATATGATGTTTTCAGTTCTTTTGGGAAAATTCCCAGTAGGGGGATAGCAGGATTGAATGGGATTTCCAGTCCTAGTTTTTGAAGGAGTCTCCATACTGATTTTCATAATGGTTGTACCAGTCTACATTCCCACCAGCAGTGGAGAAGGTTTTCTTTTTCCCCACAGTCTCTCCATCATCTGCTGTTGGTAGATTTCTTTATGGTAGCCATTCTTTCTGGGGTGAGATGTTATCTCAGAGTTGTTTTAATTTGCATTTCACAGATGACTAGTGATGTGGAGCATGTCTTCATGTATTTATTTGGTTCTTGTATTTCTTCCTCTGAGAAATGTGTGTTCATCTCAGATGCTAATTTTGGATTGGGTCTTTAAATTTTGGGATGCTAATTTTTTTAGTTCTTTATGAATTCTAGATAGATGACCTTTGTCTGAGTGCTTATTAGTTAAGATTTTTTCCAAGTTTGTGGGTTTTCTTTTCAGTCTTTTGGTAATTTCTTTTGATGTGCAAAAACTTCTCAATAAGAGAAGATCCCAATTGTTAATTCTTTCAAGTATTACCTGTGCAGTTTGATTTTTGTTCATGAACTGTTTGCCTACTCCTATGTCTTCAAGAGTTCCTCCTCCTTTCTCTTCCAGGAGAGTGTTTCTGTTTTAATAATTAATCCACTTTGACTTTAGTTTAGTGCATGGTGATAGGCCTGGGTCAAGTTTTAGTTTTCAGCATGCAGAAAGCCGGTTTTTCCATCAACATTTGTTAAAGAGGCTATCTTCTTCCACTAAGCATGTTTGGCACCTTCGTGAGAAATAAGATGGCTGAGTGTGTTTGTAGTTGCTTTTTCATCTTCTAATCTATTCCACCAATCCTCAGGTCTATGTTTTTGCCAATACCATGCTGATATTATTACAGTAGCTTTTTTGCAGTATAATTTCAAGTCAGGAATTGTAATGCCTCCTTCTTTGTCTTTGTTACCCAGGATTGCCTTTGTTATTTCTGGTCTTTTCTGGTTCCAAATAAATTTTAGGAGTAATTTCTCTAGGTCTGTGATGTATGTTGGTGGTATTTTGATAGGGATTGCATTAAATCTGGTATAACAATTTTGGGAGCATGGCTATCTTCACAATGTTGTTCTTCCTATCCAGGAGCAGGGAGTATCTTTTCATTTTCTGAAATCCTCTATGATCTCTTTTTTCAGAGTACTATATAATTTTGCTTCACTAGATCTTTGACTTTTTTAGTTAGATTAATTCCCAGGTATATCTTTCTCCGTTGTGCTATTGTAAAAGGTATTGTTTCTCTAATTTCCCTCTCAGTGTGTTTGCTGTCCGTGTAGAAGAGTACTATTCACTTTTGAATATTGACTTTGTATTCTACTATGTTACTGAATTTGTGTATTAATTCCAGTAGCTTCTTGGTGGAGTTTTTTTGGTCTTCCACGTAGAGTATCATGTCATCTACAAAGAATCATAGTTTCACTTCTTTACCTAGTCTTTTTTTTTTTTTTTTTTTGACAGAACTGGAGATTATCTATTCTTATTCCTTTTAGTTCTCTCTCTTATCTAATGGCTATAGCTAATGATTCCAGAACTATACTGAATAAGAGGGGTGATAGAGGGCATCCTTGTCTTGTACCAGATCTGAGAGTAAAAGATTTCAGTTTTTCTCAATGTAGAATTATGTTAGCAGTTGGATTGTCATAGATGGCTTTTATCAGATTGAGGTAGAGGCCATCTATTCCAATCTTCTGTAAGACTTTGAAAATGAATGAGTGTTGGACTTTGTCAAAAGCCTTGTCTCCATCAAATGAGGTGATTATGTGGTTTTTTGATTTGGCTGTATTGATACAGTGTATTACATTTATAGATTTGTGTATATTGAACCATCATTGCATTCTTGGGATGAATCCTACTTGGTCATGGCGTATAATCTTCTTGATGATTTCCTGTATTCTATTTGCTAGGATTTTATGAGGATTTTTGCATCTATGATCATGAGGAAAATTGGCCTGTGGTTCTCTTTTTAGTTTGCATCTTTCTCTGGTTCTGGTATCAGTATAATACTTGCCTCCAGGAATGATGTTGGGAGAACTGCTTCCTTTTCAATTTCATTGAAATGTTTGAGGAGTATTGAAATTATATCTTCCGTAAATTTCTTTAGAATTCATCTGTGAGTTCATCAAGACCTGGACTTTTCTTTTTTGGTAGTTTTTTTAAATCATATTTTGTCTTTCATTGGCTGTTATTGGGTTACTGAGAGTTGTTATTTCTTCTTGATTCACTTTTGGTAATTTGTACCTTTTTCAGGAATTTGGCCATTTATTCTGTTTCTTTATTCTGTGAAAGCAAAGTTTCTAAAAGTAGCTAGTAATATTCTTCTGAATTTGCACTGGGTCTAAGGTAATTACACCCTTTTCATTCCTTATTGCTTGTATTTGATTTTTTTCTTTCCTCTTTTTAATGAAGTTAGTGAGGGGCTTATCAATTTTATTTTATCTTTCAAAGAACCAGCTTTTTCATTCATTAATTCTTTGAATTGTTTTCTTCATTTTGATGGTATTAATTTCTGCTATAATCTATAATTTCCTCCTATCTTTGGTCTTTGGGTTTTGCTTTGCTCTTCCTTTTCTAGATATTTGAGTTGCAGCATTAGCTTATTTATTTGTTCCAGTTCTGTTTTCCTAATGTGTGGGTTCATAGCTATAAATTTCTCTCTAAGAATTGCTTTCATTGCATCCCATAAATTCCAATAAGTTGCACCTGAATTTTCATTGAAATGTAGATATTGTTAATTTCACCTGTGACCTATTGGTTGCGGAGGGGGATGTTGTTTAATTTCCAGGTATTTATTGGGTTTTTCTGGTTTCTTTTGTCATTTATTTCCAGTCTCATTGCACTGTGGTCAGATATTATGCATGGTATAATTTCTGTTTTCTTACATATACTTTACATATGCTTAAGCATGACCTATGGACTAGTATGTGGTCTATTTTAGAAAATGACCGTTATGCAGCTGAAAAAAATGTGTATTCACCTTTCGTTGGGTGGAACACTCTGTATATCTACTAAGTCCATTTGTTCCAAGTTCTATATCTAGATCATTTCTCACAGGAATTTTTGCACTTACAGTTACTGGGATAGCAATAATTCAAAGTTACACTGAGGTTCTCCTAAATGCCTGGTCAAAATCATCCAAATGTTTTGATTTTTTGCTCTATTCCATTCTTAAAATTTTTATGGTAATCAGACACATTTTTGGACTTGATAGACCAAACTATTCAGATGTGGCTATGATATTTTAATATGTAGTGAATTTTTTTTTCATATTGACCAAAGGCCCAAGAGCTTATTAATGGCTATAAAAGATAAGAAACAAAGGATATTTTTTGTGTCTTCCATGAAGAGTATCATGTCATCTGCAACTTCTTTTTTGTATATTCTTATCCCTTTTCTGTCTCTCTCTCGTCTAATGGCTTTGGCTAATGTTTCCAGAACTATTTTGTGTAGGAGAGCTGATAGGGGAAATCCTTGTCTTGTATCTGATTTTAAAGTAAAAGCTTTCAGTTTTTCTCCATTTAGGATAATGTTGGTTGTTGGTTTGTCATAGATGGCTTTTATCAGATTGAAGTACAGGACTTTAATTCCAATTTTTTGTAGGACTTTGATTATGAATACATGCAATACTAAAACCATGATTGAATACCTCTCATCTTGTTCTTCTAAATGTGTACTATTTCTAATGTCTTAGCAATTAGTTTTCTCTCCTTAATGTAAATTTTAAAAATATAAAGTAAGAAAGAACAAGAAAAATTAAAGTTTATTGAAAGTAAGCATTGATGTTTAATTATTTGATCAACTTTGCATACCAAATCTGTTAAACTGAACAACAGACTTGATGATGAAAATATATAATATGATAACCACTGTTAAATTTTTATTTTTGTTTTGAAACTCTGTACCATTGTACTATCTATTGTTATTGTGTTTTTGTCTTTTTTTCCTATTTTTATTTTATTTTATTTTTATTTTTTGGTGGTACCAGGATGCTGAACTC